AAAAAAAAAAAAAAAAATTACCTTGTTGGAGAAGAATCCTTTGCCGAGGCCGTAGAATTTTTTCGACATTTTTTCGGATTTTTTTTGATGCTCGAATCGTTCGTTGAAGTTCGGAAAATTTAGAGAGATAAAGTTTAGAGAGATGAAATCCCAAAAAAGGTTAAGGGCAAAAGAGTAAATGGAGGGGGGCGGTGACTAGTAAAAGGGGGGCGGTGAATAGCGATTGAGTTAGAATAGCATTGTACGAGTTATTTACTGATCTCTACACACACCCACTTTCATTTCATGGATTGCAATTTGCATTGCATGTATTTTTCGTTTAACATTATGGTCCACGGGCATCAAAGACTCAGAAAAAGGAAAAGAACTTGTTATCAATCTGATTTTAACCAAATTTTTTTGCTTCAAATAGTCATTTTGTACAATAATAACGCTAGAGTGCTGAGTGATGGCGCAAACCACGACCCTTCCATTCACTCGAGTCTTTTCGCTCATTCACCGGCCCTTGCAAAGAAGCCAACGTATCCGGGTCGGGCCCCAATCCCTGACCCGACCCGTAAACATGAGAAGCCAACATATCACTCGACCGCTTGTCGAGCCATGAAAGAATATCTGAGAAGACAATCTCGATGTTCTCATCTGGCTCGCCTGATGTCAAGCCGTGCCACATTCCGGGATAGAATTTGATCCTCTTGTCTAAACTGCTCGCTTGTTCGTATAAAGCCCGACTAACTTCAGGGTCGGTTACCGTGTCAGCCTCACCATGCAACACAAAGAACGGCATTGTCACCTGCTTTTTTTTTTTTTTTGTTATTTATAAACACAATCGATAAAGTTATTAAGGGTGTATATTTGATAAAACTGATAGCTGATAAGCTAGCCTATAAGTAATTTTTGAACTTATATCTTATATCTTATAGCTTATGAATTATAGCTGAAAAACTAGATAAAAATGTTTGGTAAAATTAGTTGATAAGCTAGCTGAAATAAAAATAAATTTAAGCGAACTTATTTGAAAAGCTACTCAAAGAAGCTTATGAGATAAAGTCGAGTTTTTAAAAAAAAAACTCGTCCTACCAAACGAAGCTTACTTGAAAACACAAATCTTATAAACTAGCTTATTTGGCTACCAAACATAACCTAAATATTAACATATCTCAAAATGATTGAATAGAGTAATAGTGTAATGTTGACCTTGTCCAAGTTCTTCTCGAGGTTCATGCTAGCCCTCAGCAATTCAAGCGCCGTTTTCAGTCTCGGCTTCTCTTGATATATCAATTTGTTGCTCCGGATCTACACGAAAGTGTAGCATCACATTACATAATAAATTATAGAATAAATTGGATTTTTGGCAATCGATTAATATAAGCTTGGCTTGTCATGAACAATTATTTAAGCTCTCACTTGCCTCTTCTCGTTTCACGGGGTCCTTGAATGCCGAGTCAATGACATCCTTTGTCGGGACTATCTTCCATTTTGGAATCACATCCTCAACACTAGTCAACAGGCTAATAACTACAGGGTGCGGCTTCACCTTCTCCGATATCTAATAAATTCCAAAAAAGAAAGAGAATAAAAAAGTATCAGACCAAATTTAACCAATAACATCTTAAAACTTTCTAGTGTTCAAACTACGCTGTTAACTCCGTGATGCACGATTATTTTCATTGAAATGCGTATATATAGAAAGTTTTCGACATGGAAAAATAATGTGTATGACCTTACACATAGGAGCAACTAGAATAGCACCGTCCCAAAAGCCAGGCTCTTTTTTGTGTGTCAAAAGAGCTACTGCCCCTCCCATTGACTCACCGTATAAGAATTTCTTCTTTCCCCTGTATTCTTCTTGTGCTGGAATTATTCAAGAAAATAATGTTGGGTGAAATTTGTTTACGAACAACACTACTAAAAAACAAAAAACTCCGAGTGTCGAATACGCATATAAACTAAAATTGAGAAAGTTTGTTGCTTTAAATTTATCTGTACCATGACAAGAATATTGAAATTGAAGAAGAGCGGCTCAAGTAAATATTTTTACCGCGCACAACGAAATTAAAGTGTGTGCAAGAGAAGAATCAGAAGAACTTTACCACAAACTGATTTGAAATATTCGTTGCAATCATTAACGATGTTGTCAAATCTCTTGATGTAACAACGAGAGCCCTGTGATCGTCCGTGACCTTCATAGTCAATTCCAAACACGGCATAGCCATGACTTGCTAGCTTCACTCCAACACCTAATCAAGAAAAAAAAAAAAGTTATTGAGGGTTTAAATATATTAACAACACCTGAATTATGTCTTTTAGTTTTATTTATCTCATTCGCTAGAAGGCTCCATTTGTATGCTCGTTAAAATCTCCATCAACAAGAAATCAAGCCCGATATTTTTGACAAGGCCAACATAGTAATGAATCCTCGAAAGTCTTATCTTAATTCTTAAACCATTCTTAATGGAATCGTACATAATGTTCGTTCTCCAAATGTTTAAGAAGTTTCTCTAACTATAATTTTGACAATTATGATTACACCCATTTCAGTCAAAATGTTTTACAAATTTGCCTAACTCAATTATTCTTATCTTGTTTATGGCATGAAATAGAGACGGTTGTGGCCTACAATTAATTGATTTCTTACCCAATTACTCAATAAAGGCACCAAACTAGTTTATCAAATGCTTAAAAGAAGCAAACATCGCTAATTTCTGTTCATCCGAACAATTATATAACCCAAGCTTCTGGTTTGTAAGAACCAAAGCAAGTCAATGGTACAAAAACATTGATGACTTACATATGAGGGAACAATTTATTAAAGAGACAATTTGCACTTGCACATGAATGTATTTGTGTCTAACCAAAGGAAGCATTGATTTGAAAGATAATGATATCCAGTTACTAACAACAGGAAAAAGAATCTAAAAGGGTCAAAACATAAAAAGAAAAGGACACTCTCACCTTTCATGAAATTACTGCATTCCATGCCATAGCCTGTGGAACCTCGCTCATTCATCAAATAGCATTGCATTAGAGAAAATATAAACAAGAAAAATAAAATAAAACACAAAAAAAAAAAAAAAAAA